CGTCCAAGCCCAGTTCAAAAATTTCAAATTCAGCTTCCCAGGTATGTGGAGTACGCAAGTACGGGCATGTGAAAGTTTTGGCGAGAAAATTATTAACTCGGAACCAGAAGAGCTAGCAAGCTGAAATTTCAGGAGGAACGTCCCCTGTTCAAATGCAACTTAAATATTTTAAATTCAACCCTCAGGTGTGCTTAGCCCTCAAGTATGGGCACTTAAAAGTTTTGGCGGGAAAATTGCCCACCAAATAGGTAGGTTGCTTTCAAAGAACGACTGTTAAATGAAAATTGTTTATTTACATTATGCAAAATTTATAATGATTTACGCTAGTGAACGCAAAAGGTGGGCGTAAAGCAACAACCATTCATGCAGTTAATAACCTAAGTACTTCAAGTTTGGTGCAAAAACGCACGATCACACCTGACCACACCGATCACACCTGTAAGCCTGGTGTGTCCTTTTGCCGCCCTTGCTAAGCAAAATTTAGCTGAAGACTTAAAGCAATAGGCTGCGCCAAATATTTGTTCCAATTTTTCTCATGAAGCGTCTTCAAATTTGGCGAAATGGAGAAATGAGTTAATCGGTTAATACACACACACACACACACACACACACACACATACACACACACACACTCACACACATATACACGCACACCTATTATAACTTCTTTATTACAAGGATTTTGATTGAATTTAAAATGATTTCACTAACGTTCTTCTTGGTGACGTGCTAATTGCGCACTTGTTGCCGACTTTTGCATTGAAATTTGATGAAAATTTAATCCAATTCGTCTCACTTTGCTCCTTGTTTGTCTGCCTTTGTGGCCACCCAGTGACCATCTCGCGGCCCCTCGGAAGGCAGTGGACCCCAGGTGGAGAATCACTAATTTAGACTGTTTGTTCACTGCCCCCTCCAAATATTCGAACTGTACTGGAAAGAAACTGACATGGCAGCTACTAGACCTCAGCTCACTTTGATCTGTGCAATTAACCTGGTAGTATGTTCAATAGATTCGTTTTCACTAGAGACCAGTAAGTGCATATTCTAATCGCAACTTTTGCGCTTGAACTTTTTGTCAGGTTTTGCAAAGGACAAACAGTTCAGAAAAAGGTT